TTGCCTTCACTTTATTAGGCTTTGTAATAATTATCTAAACTATTAAAATTTTCTACAGAGTTATACTCTATAGTATCCAAATTACAAGTGAAAACTCACCCGGTTGCTCACTGAGTACCTATGTGTGACTTGCTATAGTAAGATTTGCCTCTGTATTATTTTATCCTGCAATTGGCTTCAATAATATATCACTAGTCAGATCTTACCACCTGTTAAGACTACAAATTAATTTTTCACCAATCTGCCTATTGCTCATCTTCAATTCACCTTAGAATCTCTTTTTTAACTATCTCTAAAATTGAACCCTATCTTTTATCCTCTTCTTCATTTTTATCTTTTTCTTTTTTTCTAATATGTTTATCTAGTGGCTTCTTCTTCTTTTTTTCCCTTCTTGCCTTTTTATACGATCTTCTTTTATCTTTTGGCGTGATCTCATTTTCTTTCTCCCATTCCTGCACTAATTTGTATCTTGCAACCCATATTTTCTCATATACTTCTTTTATCCAGTTTTTCCAAAGTCTATCTAGAAAGTTCTTCGCTTGATTATTTGAGTTGAAAAGAGGTCTCAACTTGTCAAAGTCTTCTTTTGTAATTAGGCCTCTGATCCATCTTTCTCTTCTATGTAATTCTTCAGTTTGAGATCCCTTTCCTAGCATTGTTAAGACTTCTTCTTTGGTTGTCTCTATGCTTTCTACCTTTTTTGATTCAAGCAAGGTTGCTTCTACTACTTGCTTCTCTAAATCATGAAGAAGGTTTAGGGAAGTTTTGAAGCTCACCAAATGTTCTACATTCTCTTTCTTTTTTTTTACATATAACACATTTGTTTGTTTTGTATATTTTTGGTCTTCTCTGATTGAGTTTTTCAAACACCGAGAGTATGTTGTTTATATACTTTATTTCAAAGAGCCATAGTGTATTTGATTTAAAAGTGTGGTTTTATTGTTTAGTTCTATTCCTCATTATGTTGCATAGCATGTACCAAGTTTGAGTGCTTTTTCTTTCTTGATGAGATTTATTATATGTGTTATATAGGAAAGCCCATTCTGCTTTCAATAACACTCTTTCTAATATTTTGATAAAGGAACAGATAGGCTTTTCAACTAGTTTACCTTCCCACATATACCTTACTTTGTGGCCTTTCGTATATAATGTTTTTGGGTTTAGGTACTCTGTTAACTTGGAACCTTCTTTTGCTTTCAAATCTGCAAGATTATTAAATATATCGCCTGAGTGACCTTGATCTTTATAATGTGTATAGTTAGCTTCTTTGTCTTGATCACTTCTACAATTGTAGTTACCAAACCACAATTTTTAGTCTTTAACCACAGTCTTATCTTGTCTGTCTCTAGACCTTTTTTGATTGCTAACATTGCCACTTTACTATTTGTTCTTATCTTAACTCTTCTTTCTCAAGGTGCAGTTAGTAATACAAATAATATTGCAACTATTTCTGCTTTTGTAGATAGGAACCACCTCTTTGTCATACAAGATATTTGTCGCAAGAGCTGACCTGTTTCTGTGGTTTGAACTACTCCACATCCTATTACTAATTTTTCTTCCTCCTCAGCAGTACCAAGTGAGCTATCTGTATAAAAAAATAAACTATCTAATTCTCTATTTTGTTCTAAATTTTCTGCTATTCTAGATCTAATTACATTATCATAAACTATTCTATTAACTAAGACCATTTCCTAACATCATACTCTATACCTATTTTATCCTTCTCTTTTATTCTTTTCATTTCTTTTGCTTTAACAAGTACTTTCACTTCCTTTTTACTGACTACCTCTTCTATATGTCTTTTTTCGAAGATTAACTTTGTCCTCTTTTCTGTTTTCTGAACTATGTTTGAAATGTCTCTAAGTTTTCTACACTTAACCATGTAGAATTCACTTTTTTCATCAATTTCTAATAACTGCTGCATTTCTTTTTCATGACAATATGTTGTTTTTTTGTATTTTCCACTTCTATATATGCATTTTCTTTTTTTTTTAACCTTTCTTACATTGAGCGTTGTATTTGCTTCATCTCTCCAACAAACCCATTCTTTTATTCTTCTGTCAGCACTTGGTTCTTTTGTCTCTAAGCTAAATGCATTAACATTATTTGCTTCACAGTTATATCTATTTTTGACTACTCATGAACGAGAATTTTCTAGCATCTCTCTTTCTAATTTAGCAAACCAGCCTGCTTTTTTTCCTTTTAAACTCTTGCCACCTGCTAATTTGATTTGATTCCATGTATACATTGTTTTGCCATCCTTCGCAATAAGTTGTAAAACCAAAGTTAGACCCACTTTGTAGTAATATTATATATGTAATTGTTAGTATATAGTTGTCAATTTAGAATAAATAATTAATCTAAAAATCAAAGATCGAATTTCATTCACAAAATTGAATAATACATGTTGATAACATGTTTAAGCAACAAAATAATATGTCTTTTAGAAGTTAAATCAGATTATTTTTATAAAAAAAAGATTATCTATATATAGTATATTTTTATTTTGTCTAATTTATTGGCTTTAAGTATTATTTTTATAAATTAACTTTAATATACAAGTATTTTCTTTATGACTTTGTTTAATTTTTTCTATTACTTACTTTGTATTATACTTATACTTTTCTATAATGAAATAAACTTTTAAATCTTTCTAATAAATCGTCATTATTATGATATTTAATTATCTATAATATCTAATTATTATTCTTGCTATAATTTTGCTCAAACATATAATTATATAACCTATTTGAAATTTATTTATATTATTTTTTTACTTTTATCATTTTATTATAGTCTAAGATATTATATATTGAATCTAGTAAGAATAGTTTTTTTTATATTATTATTACTAATTTGAAGTTTATTTGACGATCCTAATATCAGAGTCTATCATAATTAACTATCAATTTAAATGAATCATTTTTTTCTAATTGACATTATTTTCTTTTTTAATGCTTAGTTTGTATTTGGCTTTGCACTTGGCTTTGCACTTTGATATTTTTATTACTAATTTTATAATTAAGCTCTAACTAAAAATAATTAATGAATAGTTTTTAGAGTATATAAATTGGTAAATATTTATTTTATAGATTTGTGAATTTTAATTCTTAGTAAAAAGAATAATTCAATAATAATTATCGTATTCCTCCGAAAATAAATACTCCTCTACAATTCATATATACCTGAAAATAAGCACCTTTTATATAATAGAAATAAGTAACTAAATATCAAATTATTCAAATTATTAGTTGAGATTATACCTGAAAATAAGCACTCTTATAGCAAAAAAGGGGTGCTTATTTTCGGAGGAATACAATATATATTGTCGAATTAATATTACTTTAATGGTCTATGTTTGTATATGTCCAGAGTGTAATAGAAAAAAAGTTGATTAATGAACTTGGAATAATCATTTTGATTTATATATGTCTGATAATTCTATACTATCAGCACAATTAATTCAACTGAATATAAATAATAAAGTAATGAACTCTCTTTAGGAGATCTTCAATATAATTCACCTGCATAATTAGAAAGTATGGATACTTCTTTATCTAATTCATTTCTTTTATCTGAAAATACAGAAGTTTCTAGATCTAATGTAGTATCTAAATATACAGATAAAAATCAAAGCTTTAATTCATTATATTTTGATAATTTTGCAGAAGGATCAAATACAAAAAAAAAAAAAATAAGCCAGTAGATAATACAAATCTTATACAATTTGGATTAACTAGTGATATAATTATTGAATCAGATAGTGATGGTGAGCATAAAATACTACCAGATATTAATTCAAGTTTAGATGATTATGAAGACAAAACAAATAAATATATTACTAGTGATGATAAACGGATAGCTATACAAGTAGTGAATATGATAAAGATATTGAATATACAAATTTATTAAATACCAACTTCCCTATTTACTTTAAATCAGATCCAAGTAATATAACATGTTTATTACTTACTGCTCTGATTATTATTTAATGGATTATTTTATAGATTTTACTTTTCAAATGTGTAATAAATCTTGCCAAAAAATCAACAGAAATCCTTTTAATTTTTTATATTCTATATTAAATTATATTGATTCTGATTATTTTGCAACTTTTCCTAAATCAAATTACCTTATTTTGAAGTTTCTTGGATTAGACAAAAAATTTATAGAATTTTATGTATATCCAAAATGCTATAAACTTTTTTGGATACAAGAATATATAAATAAATCATGTCAATCAAAATATATTTGTGAAGCAGAACTTAAAAGGCCTGTTCATACTTCTAAAGAAAAAATAATATACAAGTCTATTAAGATATATCTTTACCATTCAATCATTTCACATCTTAAAAAAATTCTTTTGCTTCCTAAAATAGAAGAAGCATTAAAATCTTGTTATAAATGTTTATTACCACCAGATGATTTACTTTCTGATGTATATGATGGATATGTTTGGTGTATATTTAAAGATAATGATGAATCTGCTTTTTTTGAAGAAAATTTGGCTGAAGGAAGATTGAGATTTTCACTTAATGTTGACTGGTTTAATCTATATAAACATTCACCAATTTCAGTTGGAGCTATTTATTTAACAATTTTAAACTTTCCTAGACATATACGATATCAAACTAAAAACATTTTTTTAGTTGGTCTAATTCCAGGACCTTATGAATCTTTAGTTACTAAAATTTCTAATTATATTGAACCAATTGTCTATGAATTAGATAGACCATGGAAAGGAATTATTATCAAAACTTCAAAATATCCTAATGGCCGGATTTATTGTGGTGGTGCTTTAATACTTATTGCATGTAATACACCAGCAGCTCGTAAAATATCAGGATTTGCAGGACATTCTTCTAAGAATGGATGCTATAGATGTATTAAAAAATTTCTAACTTTTTTAAATAATCATTCAAAACGTGGAAAAGTAAAATTTTCTGGATTTGATCAAGAATATTCTTGCCTTAATAATATTTAACATAAACAATTATCAAATAATTGGTTAAATGCAAATAAAAAAGAAAAAAAGCAAATATTTAATGAATATGGAATTTGATGAACCCCATTGCAATATCTTCTATATATTGATCTTATCCATTTTATAATAATTGATCCAATGCATAATTTATATCTAGAAACTGCACAACATATTACAAAACTTTGGACTACTGTTAATATTAATATTAATAATAATAAGCCTTTAATTTCTAAAAAAGATTTAAAAATTATACAAAATACTATTAATAGCAATTCTCCTCCATATGATATAGGCCGAATTCCTCACAAAATTGCAGCTGGTTTTTTATCATTTACAGCTGACCAATAGAAAAATTGGGTATTGGTCTATTCAACTTTAGCTATTCGTAATTTGTTATCTGAAAATCACAGAAAGTATTGGCAAGATTTTGTGTGTGCTAATGCTTTGTAGGCACAAAGAGTAATTAGCATATCAGAAATTGAAAAAGCACATGAATTTATTTATCAATTTTGTATTGCTATTGAAAAAATTTTTGGATCAGAGTTTATTACACCTAATATACATATGCATATTCATTTAAAAGAATGTTTTTTGGATTATGAACTGTATATGGAATTTGGTGTTTTGCATATAAGCGAATGAATAGCAAGCTATCATCAATTCCAACTTCAAATAGAAATATTGCTACCGAAGTTATGGTTGCTATTTATGAAGAAATTACAATTAATATAATCACATCAATCTTATTAAAAAAATTTCCAGATTCAATTAATTACTTATTTAGATTATTATTCAATTCTATTTTATTAGATAGAACATTAGCTAAATATTCAATACCTGTACAAGATGTTTTAAATCTTTATAATATGTCAACTAAAATCTGTGAACAAACTATTACTGGAGCTAAATTATTTCCTGGAAAGTTTTTAAAACCTATACATTTTTCACAATTGGATGATATTACAAACCAATATCTTGCACAATTTTATAACCGAATTTATATCAAAGACCAGCAAGGATTAACCTTTACTGCGTCTTGTAATTATACTTCAAGCCCAAATTTGATTTTTGTAACATCTGCAATTGAGCGAGCTGGTGTTATTTATATTGGTAATAAAAAGTTTGGCTCTATTTCTTCACGATTAGACTCAAATTCATATATAATTGCAGCATTTGTTGATGAAAAAAAAACTAAAAATGATAAAGAATAAAAATATATCTGTTTTACTTAATTACGTTAAAAATTTTTAAAATAATTTAAATTTACTATTTTCAATGAAATAGAACCCAACGTATAAGATTAATTTTGAAAAATATATTAATTAATCTTAGATTTTCTTGTTTTTTCTCAAAGTCGGTTCTATATTTCATTTTTTATATCATAAAGTTATTACAGTTGGTCTGCATAATTGGAAAATTGCCAATGAACAAATCGATAAGTTTGTATTGCCTGTAATTTATTTAATTCTGTTATAACTTATCTATTCGATCATTATACAGTAGCGTAATAATAACAATTACGATGGCAATATCATTAGTTAATTTCAATATCAATCTACTTATTATAAGAATGTTCTTGGAATTATAAGGAAAATAGTTGCGCAATCTAACTATGCACGGTAAAAACGATATAATCTGGCTCATACATGTACACATATATAATAAATGATTCAAAATCTAAAATTTTTCTTACAAAAATCAAAGGAATTGTCTAAACCATAAAGAAGTTAGATAAACACGAGCTTGAAATTATTTTATGAATATAAAGGCATTATGAAGCTTTTAGTGAACTTTATTTTATTTTTTATAAAAATAAAATGTAATTTTAACAAATGTTTTTTGGCAAACTTGAATTATAAGTTTGATAGTTGCATTAAAAATCGGTCAAAGTTATTTTTCATTCGGTGAAAATTAAAAGTGACACAATTCGATTAATATTGACAAATCTATGATTGACACATAAAAAATGCATCTAATAAAACTTAACAAAGGACATAGTTGGATGGTAAATGCTATGGACTAGAATAGCTTAATTAAATTAAATAACCTACTATATAAGATCTTTTATATTCACAAAAAGAATTAATATGAATAAAACTAAATAGGGATTAATCTTATGATATATACTATAAGTTCGAATAACTTAATTAATAAAGTACCTTATGTTTGCCAATTAAATTAATGCGAATAAAATAAAAACTAAGTTTAAAATTATATTTTGAAGATAAAGGATGAACTCAAATAGCTTATTTAAATGCACTAATTAATAAGACAATACTTACCAAAAATTTAATGTAAATATAAAGTGAAATAAAATAAAGATATATTAGTTTGATAAAAATTTTTACATTTACCAATTAAAATAAAAAAAAACTAAATAAGCTGCATAATGTAATGTGAAATACTATTTCAATCTTAATAATAAGCCAGTCAAGAGTAAAACTTATTAGTGAATATTAGAACACAAGAAGTTAGATAACTTTGTAACAAGCATTAATCTGGTTTCTGGCTTTAATTTGATTGCATAATGCAGAAAAATATAATGCTTTAGTAGTATAATCGGTGTGATGTATGAAAATCACTGAGAACAGTAATTTGAAAAGCGCAGTAAATATTTTCATTCTTTTTCTACACTTTGAAATACAAATTTTATAATGCATCTCTGTGCGTTATTTCATCCAGTATTGGAAATCTGTTTTCAGATTTATGTTCTTAGAAATCATTTATGTACTCATCAGTAAAATCTATTTATATACCTATTTTTTAAATTTTTTTATTTCGGAAAATATCGGACATGTATTCAGATTTTTGTCACGTCTTTTATGTTCATTTATCTTCTTTTTGGATGATTTCTGAACTTTGTTCGATTTCTAATTTTATTTCCATCTAGCATTATGCTATTATACTTATATAGAGGACATATTTTCGAGTAGTATGTTCTCAAACTTTTTTTTTCATAGAGAACATTTACAGAATATCATATCTTCTCAAATCTAAAGGTATGAGAAAATGAGGACATGAGAACATACCAACACCGATTTCATCCACCTGCTCAAAATAAAAGGTTTATTTTTTTTACCCGATAAAAATATGTCATATACAAGGTACTCGTTATTTAGGTGACGCTTGGGAGTTATTTTGATACTGTATTTTTAAATATTGTAATTTTCAATATAAGCCGCTAGCGTAATTCCGAACTTATACAATAAATGAATATCCATCCATATGAAGTTGTTCAAAACTAGAGTTGCAGGTGAAGCAAATCTTCAATTTACACCAATCGCCAATCACAAATCAGCATTGGTGATACTGGTGGTGATGTGATACTGGTGGTGATGGTGATACTGGTGGTACTGGTGATACTGGTGGTACTGGTGATACTGGTGGTATTGGTGATACTAGTAGTCTAGTAATGCTGGTAGTATGCACTATCTCGATAGCTAGCTAGAGCACTTTAGTCTTTAAGTTTAGCAATTATTTAATGGCCTAACTGGTAAGTATTTAACATGAGCTTTTCACGTCTTATTTAGCTTTTTATCCTATCAGTTTGTATAATCATCTACCAAAAGCATTTCTAAATTATGCAGATTAGTATGACGGTATAGGGTGCGAAATACTTCTATTTTTAATATCTGTTCCAGCGGTATGTAATATTAGAATTAGCATTAGAAAATAAAGTGGGTTGGTATGATATGTTTTTTAAAGAGATATTTTACACACTATACTATTAGTTAGGCACATTCAAATGTCCACACTTAAGGTAACTCGATACGTCATAAATCGGAGTAGGTTGGTCGTGCAACAAAAATTCCGAAATTCCGGATCAGAATGGATCGGATTTGATAGATTTTGCCAATAATACAATAATCCACACGCTAAATAAATTGTCCAGACACTAATTTTGCTATAATATTGTTATTGTCGCGGCTGATACTGAAATTTGAACCTATTTTTATATGGATTTTAAAATTTTTGGGGCGTTTTTCTTTTTCTTTTTAGGAATAGGTTAGAGTTTAGGGATATGTTTGATATTTAAAAGAGTATAGGTGGACTTTAGCAAAGCTTATGTTTTTAAATCAAGTCCCTAAATTTCAGTATCATTCAATTTCAACTCCAGCCGCGACAGTTATTATTATTGCCTAATATAGGTCTAGCCCGATGCCTTCCAATCTATTCGTAAATCGCATGATACCATATTCGGATTTTTACATGAAATGAATGATGATATTATGTAAAGTATAATAGTACAAGATTGTTTAACTAATTGGAAATGAAAATAAAATGAATAAAGGAAAAAGCAACATACTGAGATAAAATAAGATAGGTTAAGTATAAACCCAAAATGTATAGAAATCAAAAAGAAAATAAAATTTCTAACTTTTAAGCTTATCATTTATTGTTTATCAAGTGAAAATCTGATCAATGATCTATATTATGTGTTAGATGTTACTATTGTTTTAAAAGCCAAATCGGTAAAAATAAATTATAAAAAATTGAGTATGCTTTACTCTTATTATTTAGGTAATTATCTTTGAATCCAGACTAAAATTTTATTCTATCATATATAAGATTAATCCGGGTTCAAAAATAATTACCCATTTGTGATATTCATCAATCGGAAATAATAATTTCTAACCTAAGGCCACGCAAAGTTGATTTTTCGTTTTGCATTACCCGCCGTCCCATTTTTTCAATTTTTTTAAAATTTTTTTTTTCTTTTTTTAGATCCCAATTATGCCAATTGTTCAATTTTTGACATCTATTTTTTCCCGCTATTTTCATCCGGTAACACCCGATGGAGACCTTAATTTCCCGCAATTGTCCGATAGGACTGACAGGAAAAATATGACTGCCGGCCCAATTTTTTGATTCCTTGTTGTGCAAATATAATCTTAAATGTGATCATTATTCTATTTGCAGTAAATTGAATTAAAAAAAAAAATACAAAAAAAAAAAAAAAACCGTCCGTCCGTCCCTAATTTTGAAATCCATGTAATGCAAAACGAAAAATCAACTTTGCGTGGCCTAATACAGTTATATGACACGAACCAGCATGGTACAAAATTTTAAAGTAAAGTATTTTAGACCCCATACCGTACGGACCTGCTCTCCTACATCATACTGGTATGTGAAATTATAATTCGACATGTTGACTGTTCGATTTTATGTATTTAAAATAAGTGAACAAAATCGACAAACCCAAAAAAGGTCAACAGATGAATAGATTGCAGAACCTAAAATTGGCCAATCTAATCTGTTAAAAGTAGCAATAGATCATTAAACCCTTTACTAATTAAAGGGTCACTTAATATTTCAGCATGTCTTAACGTTTTGAAAAATATTGAAAAATGAAAGTAATAAAATTTTCATTGCTACTCATTATTATATAGAAATTAAAAGCAATAAAATAAAGAAATTATACTGATTTTGTCAGTTAAGACGGTAATTTGAACCAAAATGACCGTTATGAGATCGAAAAACCGAATTTATTAGTTTCGAAGACCGTATCACAGTTCCAAGTTTTTTTCCTTGGCTGCGTTCAAATGCCAATAGATTCGATTAATTCTGGACACACGGTTAAAACTTTACTAATATAGATATATACATCTTAAATCTTGCTTGTTTGTTTAATTATATCGTCTCATACCAATGTAGTTATACTGTATTTTGATATTTATTTATCTGTATAACTATTCTGCTCAAAATTTTCCAAATTAAGTCTATATTCATATATTCCTAGTTTAACGCGATAATGTTGTGCAACTACTTATAGTTTAAAGGTATTTTTAGTGATGCATGTCCAAAACTTCATAAAAGGTGAAATTCTACACTTAAACTTCGCGATATTGCAGCACATAGCATTATATCTATATATAGTATGATATTTAACAATAATAAATGTTTAACTTGTATTTAATAGGGTTTTGTCTCAATTAAAGTGATTTATAGTAATATTTTATAAATAAATTTGAACACATTTATAAAGCTAGGTATAAACCAAATCAGTCAAATGTACATATTAAAAATTTAGAAATAAGTTCAAATATATTATTATAATTTTTATTAATCATAAGTTTATATCGATTGAGGATGATCTGTATCAATTAATAGTTGTTAACCGGCAAACTCTTATGATCATGAAAAATTTTCTTTGTTATTTTTTTCATGTGTTACAAGGTAATCATGTTTTACTTATATTACAGTTTTACTAGTATTACCGGTTTTACAAACATTACCAGTTTCACCACTATCACCAGTTTCACCAACATCACCAGTTTCACAAACATCACCAGTTTCACCAATACCACCAGTTTCACCAACATCACCGTTTCACCAGTTTCACCATTTTGGCTATTATGGTGCACCAGTTTCACCTGCAACTCTACTATCGACCCATACATGATTTACCTTATTAATTTATTTGTTTAGAAATCATCTTATTTCTCAATTCAAAAATTTCACACACACACACACACACACACACACAGTGTGTGTGTGTGTGTGTGTGTGCCTTTTATTATGTTAAAATAATTTATGTTTTCAGATATTATTTCAACAAAATTGGCGAATATTACAGCCACTGTAACTCTGGTCAAATAGAATCAATAAGTGTAACAATACAAAAGGCATGATTATTTATGGATTTACATATTAGACGTAAAAAGGCATGTTTACATATTAGGAAAAACAACAAAAGGAATATTTATCTTTTTATTTATTATACTAATTAAGTCAGTGAGTATAACGATTATTTTTATTACATAAGGCCGCTGTAGGTTATCTGTTGGTTAATGTGGGTATTTTGAGCTCAGGCAGTGTTCAGGTGAAACATTTAGGATAATATCATTGCCCAAATTTTAATTCAAATTTATAAATATTTACTACTCATTCGTAATTTAGAATAGATGAAATTGTAAACACATTATTCGAAAATTTTGCACATGTGCAAATATTGCAAAAAAAATAAAAAATTAAATAGGAATTATATTTTAAAGTAAAAATCAAAATTTATCTTTCTGTTGGATTTATATGATCCCTTGACATTAGTGATTGTATTTATTGAGAAAATCTTTACCCAGATATTATTAAGTTACTTGTTTTATTCATATATTTCGGTAGCCATATAACAACAATTTCTATCCAGGCATGCACTTTTTAAATTATCTTGTAGTATATTTCCACTATGTAAATCCCGATGAAGGCACAAACACCGCCTGACATTTAACTTTAACTAAAATTAGGTATGAATGTCAAAGAAAAATAAGTGCAACTTGCTATTTCGTGTTATGTTAACCAGGATATACTTTCGAATTATACTGTACAGTGTGCGCGTACATACAGGCGTATATGCGCAATGTTTTACTATTTTGAGCAACTTCTAAATTGCAATAAATTGGTGAATCTGGTACCGATAGGTGTAGAAATATTTTCAGTTTGTAAAAATTGTTATCAAAGATTTCTTATTAATTAGACGTTAATATTCATTAATCATGCGTTTCCTTTGGAATCTGTCCTTAATCAAATCCATTTTATTCATAATCATTTTAGTATGCACGATTTTTAAGACAAATAGTTTTACTCCAGAAGGTAGAGGAGGTCATGAAGCTGTAATAATTAACAATCAGTTGTATATTATGGGAGGATCTCGTTCGATTCCAGACACGAGCCCATTCAAGAGTTCAATAAGGGGATATAATTTATCGAATGAAGTTTTTTATTTGGATCTTACATCGTCATTTTCTACAAGTAAGCCACCGTATGTAGACCTTACTGGAACTTCTGCGCGATTGCAATATGGGAATGAAAAAAGTTAGTTCTTTAATTTATGTTTTCGTTATTTATGAAATATTTTATAAAATATTTTATAAACCATTAATACATGCATTAGGTGTCGCATTAGTTGGTGGTCCTGCTAATGATGAAATATTTCTTGTTGGAGGTGTACAACAGGACCTTTCCCTCCTTGACCAAATCGATCACAATGTAACAATAACTTCAAATCAGACATTCATGATAAATCAACTACTTAATACTTGGAATACAACAAATCAAACTATTTTTATTTACCGTCCATCTGGACGAACTTGGTTGAATCCTGGATCTGTTGCAGCAGTTGGAGGACCAACTATTAGACGTAGATCAACTTCAACAGTATTTGTGAATGGAAAGTTATATATATTTGGCGGTCGAGCTCAGATAGATACAGGTATTATAATGTTATATATATTTTATGTTTATTTTTAGTTGTTATTATAAATTTTAACACAATCTATATAGGATCACTTGTATTTACTTGCTTTAATGATTTCTATACTTACGACACAATTCTGTCAAAGTGGGGTAAAATTAATGCTGATAATGTTCCTTCTCCTCGAAGTCATAGTACTGCAACGTTACTTCCAGATGGTAAGATTCTTTACATTGGAGGTCTCAATCAGACTACTCCTGGAGATGCTGCATCACCAATCGACATGAGAGAAGTAAGTTACCTGTATCAAAGTTTAGAATAATAAACCTTAATAAATACAGTATATTCTATATCTTGCTTGCTAGTTTTCTTGTCTTTTTTGAACTGTTTATTTAAATATATACAAAAATTTATTTTTACAGATCCCAGTATTCGATACAGTTTCTTCAACCTGGTCATATAAAGTACTGTATATATTTAGTTATTTTTTTTTAGTAATTATTTTTATAGTTTCTTAATTTAAATATATCATATCTCATTTATAGCAAGCGACATATGAATCAACCTTTATTCAGCCTAGAGCAGGCCATTCAGCGAACCTGGCTCCAGATAATCAGTCAATAATTATAATTGGCGGAACCTCAAGTAAATTATCAGTAAAAAATAAATATTT